TGAGTCAAGTCTATAACTGTATCGTTGTTAGCTCAAGCTTTGTCACCTCTCTACCTCTTTTCCCAATTATGCGAATAGCATTATTAAATAATTGATTTCTACATTTTCCAGTATGCTGAGTCTCCCACAGTATCTCGCTCTGTGACAGGAGCTCAAAGTAGCTGGAGTTGGATGCTACTGCTCCGCTATCCAAAGGAATTTATTGTAGCACTGTATCCTGCCGACAGTAAAGTCGGGGCTTCACGAGCCCTGGCAGCAGGGAAAGGAGAAGGGCCACGGCCAGGGTTTGGCAGCTGCACTGGGCTGTATTACACCAGAGACATGCTGTGGTGTGCTCAAAACGCTTCAGGCAATTCACCTCCGTTCTAGAGGTGTCAGCCCAGAAGGAGCTGGTGTGAAGTGCATTCACAACAGAGGGCCTTCTATTGTCCCTCGGCTTGGGCACGTTGTCCTCTGTGTGCCGGACAGCTTGCTGCTCTTGCACACAGAACCAATGCCACCATCTGGCACTCACTGGTGCTTTAATACAGGAAGCATTTTTTTGAACAACTTTGCCACTTCTCCAAAGGTCTTCCTAAGCGCATCAGATGAAGGGCTGTGTGACCCTTCCAAACAGCAGGACAGAGAAAACGCTCACCTGCAGGGTGGCACATGCTGCAAATGCTCTCTTCCCAATATAAACATACAGAAGCCACTGAATCTTGCACAGGGGAAGACTCTACCATCAAGTAACACCATTACTCTACACTATTAAGTAACAAATAGCTTTCTGGGATCCAAGCAGCTGTAAGAGCTCTTCTGAGGCTGTATCCCAATAGGATTCATAATGCTTCTTCCACCGAACAAGGGAGGTGGGACAGAGAATTCACATCTCTTCTGCTTTGCAGCAGGTACAATGCCTGTAGATGCAAGACTCAGCAGCCTGGTGTGTACAGCTTTCCACTTGCCTCATGGATAGACTGCACCTAACCTTGCCACACTGCTGGTAGGGTTTATTTAGCAGATACACATCTTTGGGCTGCAGACCCTCCCCAGGCAGTCAACACTGTTCAGAGAACTGTTACAATAGGAGGGAACAGTTACCTTACTATAAACAGGCAAGTTCCAGGGAAAGCAACACATAATAATGTAACATTACTCTTAAAACACTAACTTGGTTCCAAATATTTTTGCTGCTGATAAACAAAATTGCTGATACAGAATATTAGTACCCTTAAACAGGGGGAGGGGCTTGCCATCATATTACAAGCTGCAGATAACTGTGGTTCCTTCTATCTCCAAAACTTTTTCAGAAACAGCAGAACCATCCATCAGCAAATTGCATTCAAAACATCTCCCCATTCTTCCCTCTTGGGATCTTTTTCTAGGACCTTATCCAATAGATCTCCTGTCTGCAGCAGAAATTGTGCTCTGAATTCTTTGGAACAGTAATTTATCCTGTCTGCTAAATGGACTACAAATAGCAAGTTGCTTTTTAGAGGACAGTGTACAGTCAGCACATGGATGCTCAGGTCCATGTTACCAGCAGAAGACACCCTGCAGTGGGGGGCTCAATGACACCTCCTGATCTCTGGAACAGGAGGAGGAAATCAAACATCACCATTTCACTTTTCATTTCATTAGAAGCTGAAGGTAAACTACCAGAATTCGATCAGGAATGATTAATTTAAAATAACCCCACATTTAATTCACAGATACCCTTGGAAAAGGTATTAATTGCAAACCTATGCAACAGAATTACCAGTGTTCTCAGTGCCAAATTCAGCTTTTGTATCTTTACAAAAGGAAGAGTTTTGGAAAGGAGTCCTTGAAAGGAGGTAGCCAAAGGGGAGCTCTGAATACTATCTTCAAATGATACTTTTATTTACAGAAATTATCTGTAAGTATTTCTTAATGAGATACCTGTACTCTCACCTAGCAGAAAAGAATCAAGACTGACTTTGTCTGATTTAGCAATTCTCTGTTGCACCTGTGTTGGTCTGTGCTGATTTCACAGGAGGGAAAAAGCACAAATATTTTTAAAAAATTAAAATATCTGTCTGAAAATCTGCTACCCACACGATGGACTAGAGTTCAATTTAAGCCAGTCAGTGCACAGAGAGACCACGTAACACCGGGAGAAAAAGCGCACAGTGAAGTCAATTTAATGAAATGTTGTATGACAAATGATGACAATTATCATAACTGGAATTCCTAAAACTAGAGCAGATTATGGGAAATATGGTAAATTTTGAAATATGTAACGTTTCTAGAAAGCAAATAAACCATTTTCTACACTCACTGGGAGAGCAAGAGACCAGCTGAACTGCAGAATGGGACATATTAGGAACAGTCATTTGATGGCAGTAATACCCAAGCAATGGCATCAATTGATACTTCAGGGAACAGAGAGGAACCATTACAAAGTTGGAGGATTTTTTACTCCTGCAGGCTTCTAACAATATAGTCACCTCCCACCATAGTTCTAGCGCAGGATGGCTGAAGACTCATTTATTTAGATAATTTCCTGCCCTGTCTTCTCTAAAGCAATATATCATGCACTGGGAACTGGACTACAGAAAGATGTTAGATTACAACATTCTCTTACCTTAATGTTTGTATTTCTTGTGGGTGTCATCTTTTTTTTTTCTTTTTTTCATTTGGCAAATAAGAGGCTTACTTCTGGCTTCAGTGACATCACTATTCTAGCAACATTTTCATAGAATCATAGAGCACACCGAGTTGGAAGGAACCCATCAGGATCATAAAATCCAGCTCCTGGCCCGGCACAGGGCAGTCCAACAATTCCACCCTATGACTGAGAGCACTGTCCAAACGCTTCTTGAACTGCCCTGAGGAACCTGTTCCAGTTCTAAAGTCATCCTCTGGGTGAAAAACTTCCTGATATCCAAGCTAAAGCTCCCCTGACTCAGCTTCACGCTGTTTCCTCAAGCTCTGTCACTGGGCACAAGAGTGTAGAGACTGGTACCTGCCCCTCACGGGAGGCTGAAGACTGCACTGAGGTCTCCCCTCAGTCTCCCCTTCTCCAGGCTGAACAAAACAAGCCCTCAGCAGCTCCTCATGCAGCTTCCCCATCCTTGTGGCCCTTCTTAGGACACTCTCTATTAGCTTAATGTCTTTTTTATGCTGTGGTGCCCAAAACTGTCCCCAGAACTCAAGGTGAGGCTGCTGCAGTGCAGAGCACAGACACAATCCCCTACCTTGCCTGGCTGGACCTGATATTCCCCCAGGACATATCTGGCCCTCCTGGTTGCAACAGTACACTGTTGAGTCATCAGCAAGCATGTTCGACTTTACTACACTCTTCAGTATTTTTTTTTTCCACTTGGAAAACTGAAAGGCTGTGTCTGTGTGAGTCAGCAGCCACACATGCTATACAGGAATTGTCAACACCACACAAAAGTTAACACGAGGCCTAAGGGGAAAGATGGAGCAGGAGCAAGATCAAGGGGAAGACTGCTGTAAGGCAGCAGAGCTGGTCACCATCACCCCCCGCCTCGATCAGCCACTGCTCGGTACAGGAAACACAACGCAGGGCTCAGGCTGTTTTGTTTGCTTGCTAGCTAACACAGGTTTTAATGTAATTCCCATGAACACTTTGATATGACAGTCTTACATAGATCTTTTGAGATACATGGGCATCATCTGGTTTTGCTTGTCACTGGCTTACTAAGGCTTAAAGCAGAAAGCTAAGTTAGGATTTTGCTTTGGCCTAACTGGATCTTGCTGGGCAGGGCCTGAACTCAACCCATTGCCAATTCTGTTGGGATGCACAGCAACACAATTCTGCCTTCACTATAAACATTTAGGCAAAGCTTCTGGCTAAAAATAAAATCTGTATCAGTAAATAGTTGCCATATCTTTTTAAAAGCTGTAGGTGACTGTACTACCAAACCCCAAAGCAAGCATGCTTACTCCATTTTTCTGAATCTTCATGCACCATCAATTCATTTTAGGTAAAACACTTCAAAGTGAGACTCAGCATGGACCCCAATGAGCCTGGGACCAGGAAATATGCCCGTTTTCCCAGAAGTGGGCCGTGCTGGCCAAGACACCTTATTAATTTTCCTTATGAACAAACTGCTGACGATAAACAGCTTTATGGTGCAAGGGTATTTGAGGAGTGGCTTAAATCTGAGTATCTCAACAATGTAAAAAGATACCAGATCCAAAAATGCAGATCACTTACTTAAAAGTCCCCAGACCTTGTGATGCAGAAATAATTGTGTGGTGGGTACTAAGGAACCTGCCATGTTCCTGTTGAAGCATGGCAAGAGTAGGGGGTGCAGCAACAGGTCTGTTCATTGGTAAAAACCCCCATATATCTAAGGAGGGAAAAAGACAACCAAAATGCAAGAAGGCAAGAGCAGACAATACAGAGAATCAAGATGCAGTGGCACAGCTTATCATTAGCCCTTTTCAATTGCCAGAAAAGTAATCACAGATATTCCTTCAACTGGCTATCAGGAAAAGTAAAAGGACCCTCTGCCCCAACAGAATCAGTCTTCAGTGAAGTCTTCAGTGATGGTTAACAATAGAAAACAGGGTTACATGTGTTCTTGACTGCCAATGCAAAGTGTGTTTCATTAAAATAGAGGCAATAAAGACTGTTTTGCTATTTGAATACTCAATTTCAAAGTTGATTTTGTGCTATAACCTGGGTTTCTGTTTTCAATTAATGCTACATTAAATGCTTCTTCCCCTTTCATTTTCTTTTAGATGATGCATTTTAGATCCTTAACCTACAAAGGATCAAGCATGCAAGTCAGAAATTATGTATCAGCAAACTATTTATAAAGGAAATAGAAAAATTTGGGGAATTTATAGTGAAAGTGACCTGGTGACTACCAAATTCCAACCTTGCTGGAAAAGAACATAACATACATTTCAATAAGAAAATAAAACTCAATTCTCACACAAAAGGCTCAAGTGATTAAAAAACACCTCAAGTGGGGGGGGGGGGAAAGGTGAGTTATGGTTACAGTAGGAGTACTTCAGAATTACACACAGAAAAACACACTCTTGCTTTTATTTGTGGTGGAACAGAATACAATAATCTTCAGCCCAAACTACTCAAGGCTGGCAGTATTACCTTCTTCCTCATGCTGTAAGACTTTAGGAAACAGAACAGGGACAAGAAGGGTTAGAAGTTAAATTTTCTATTTAAGGCCATTAATTTTTAAAAAATGTCCTCAACTTTAAGCATGAAGAGTTGCACTGACTTCAGTAAGATTATTCACATACAGTTAAGTCAGGCAGGTGATTAAATGGCTTGTTGAATCAAGCCATTGAATGAGAGCTGCTTTATTATACAGATTTATTTTAATGGCTGGCAAAGCTCATTACATGAGCCTATTTTATTCTTCCAAGGGCTAACAGCTGTTCTGCCATTAACTTTTCTGAAGGTGTAACCTGTATGCCTCCTGCACTTTACTGTAGCCACAGAAACAAGGTTTTCTAAGAAAAATTATATGCAACATCTATTATATATAGTGGCTTAGCTCTCCCTTAAATAGTAACAGAAAAGAACAGTACAAAACCATAGTTTCACTTTTTCAACACACAAGAGCATCTTATTGAAAAACTAAAATAAAAAAGTCTCACCACAATATAAATCCCCCAAAAATAATAATGAAATGGGAAGAAAAAAGGAGTTAGCAAAACATCCTGCAGACTTTAAAGTCTCTTATTATGGAGTTAAAAAAGCTTTTCTGGTGAACCACAATATTTTGTTTCTTTCTGTTTACAAATCACTAGACAGCAAACAATGGCATCCACATCCATAATCTATGTTGGAATTAAAAGGTAAAAACATAACCTGCCCCATCTGCAGTCCAAAAAAAAAAAAAGGAACCCAAAAGGGCAGCCAGTGAGCATAGGAGCTGGTGAGGACCGGGTTTCCCTGCGTAAAGGGGAGTAGGGGTTAGAAATGCAGAATTCGAGTTGGAACCGTGTCGAAAAGTTCTTATCTTGGAGACCTGCAAGACATGAACTACTGAAGAAACAGCCAAAAGGTCCCAATTGAAAAGCTGTGACAAGCTGTAATGTGCCATTTTAATTACAAGGACGAGGAAAAATGGTTGGGGGTGTTTGCATTTTGTGTTTTTGTTGTTTTGGGGTTGGATTTTTATTTTTTTTTGCTCATCAATATGATGAGCTTTTAACGTCCCAAACCACATTCAGGTAGTTTCCAAGTCTGCTTTTTTTTTGTGTGGAATCTACTGATCCAGACCAAAAACCCAAACAAACAGAACAGAGATGCACAGTCTTAAGTCCTGGAGCTTTCAACACTGCCTGAAATAATCGCTGGCCTGGGGTATCCGGAGATGCCTGCAAGATGGTGTTCCATAGCAGCCTTGCAAGCAGATGGGCTAACATCTGCTATGTGCTACCAACGTTCTGCCCATCACCTTCATCATTAGGACCTGAAACAATAAAAGTAGTTCTTGGTCATAAGAAATATCTTGTGTTTTTTGCCTTGCAGTAAGAGACCCATCCCAAGCAGCCTACAGAAGTCTCAGATTCAGGTGTTCAATGAGAGATGATAACTATAGAATTCCTCCTCCTTTGCCTTGCATATGCCTTCTCCAGACTAAGATCTGTCTACTGTAGAATTTATTATTCTTAACTAATCTGGTTCAGGAATCCCAGCAACATCCCAAAACCTAAAACTCAGTCTCCAGCCTCTTCAATCTTCCCACTGCTGTTGTTCATATTTATTCCTCTTTTTTTCCCCTTCCGTGAACCAGGATGGAGGACTGTCAAAAGCTGGATGTTCTCAGCCAAAAGAAAGCAAAGCATAGATGACTTCCAAGTTGAGAGTACAAAACAAAATCTTCCTCAGACTGAAGACTAGTATTTTTCATAAGTTGTCTCCTCATGCACAATAAAAACCATTACACTCCTTCCATGCCCCTCTGTAAACCTTCTGCTTTCCAAACAGCTCTCCACTGAAAGGTCAGTCTGGATGCTGTCTACAGATCCTGGGTCATCCCAGGTTTTATGTGCAACTCTTGGCCATGATGAAGGCAAAAAATTAAACTCAGAACCACCCTTAGAAATCCCATAAATGATAAACACAGAAAACCTCTGCTAAACTGTGGCATGTAACTCAGAAGCAATACAGGGGCCTTTTACCAGTTTGGAGAAGAATTAAGAAGTAGTTGCATTCAAAAAGGAAGTCCATGCAATAGTCCTACTCCATAGACATACATGAAGAGCACAAGTGTACTTTAAGAAATGGCACAGGAAGATGCATGGGAAACAGGAAACACCATTGTCTTCCTCACTTACCACTTCCAGCTGATCCTGAAGGTGCTATGACATCATCATCACTGTCTTCCTCATTTGACTGCGCTACCTCTGGCTCAGGAGCTACGTTCTTGATTTCTTGCTCTTGTTCCACTCTACTGCGCAAAGCCAAGATCCGATGGTGCAATGCAGCATATAACTGCCCTGTATCTTTAGAGCTTGCCTGCATTTTTTAATATTCAGAAATAAGAAAAAGGTACATAGAATTATAAGATAAAACACTGCTGACATAGTACACACCAGTCATGCCATATTTCACAATATATTTTTCAGTTTTCTCATAAAGTGTTTTTCAAACCAGTTACAATGGGCTGTGGTACACACAGCAGGACATTAGATATACAGAACTCCAGTGGTGAGAGTATATTCCTCTGCTTAGCTCCAACTTTCTCTGGCTAACATATCCAGTACTTCTTGATCTCATATACCCTTCTTCACGCAGGAATCACACAGCTTTCCTGAAACCTCCCAAAAGCTTGTATTAAGAGACCTTCAGTTAAAATCTTGCAGATTTTTGCTGGCCTGTCAATAATTCAACTTCACACATTAGTTAATTGTAATCAAGCCAATCGTTCCATGAGGCACTGGCATAAAATTTCAATGAGATACAGTGAGAAAACTCAATGGACAGGCAGGTGGGCAATTATTTAATTTTTTTAAACAGTCTCTATTTCAGAGGGAAGCATTTTTGACAACCTGTCAAATTCTTTCACAAAACCCAGTTTCCATCCGCCCCATCTGACACTTGAATCTGTAACCTCTGTGTCTGCAAAATTCCCCTGCAATGAGCTGTAATGAAAAAAATAATTTCAAACAAGATACTTTTTATCAATATTAAAATCAAGAGTGAATAACCTGACGACAGATTAAGTGAAATTATTGGATCATATTTTCTCTGTATTTTTCTGGATTTGAAAGTTTTGAGTTATTTTTCTTTATCAATGCATATTTGGTATCATTAAGTTCCATTCTGGGACTCCAGATCCCAGCACTATAAACCTAACGTCACAGGGAATGCTGAACATTTGTTGATGCTTTCAATTTCTGATCCCTAGAAACACTAATTCTTTTGCAACATCTTGTTTAGAATCAGCTTAAGTCAAAAGAACCTCTCCAAATTTGCAAGCACTTTAGTAGGCTTTAGAGAATGACCTTTCTTCCTTGCTGACTGTATGATCAGATCCTGAGTGTTTTAGTAATTCTGATAGAGACTACTGTTCCCCATTTAGCAAGCACAGAAATCACTTTCACTGTCTGGTTACTGCTTTAATACTCATCAAAACACTAATCAAAATAATTTTCAAAAGAAAATTGAAGCTAAAATGCGCAACCCTTAAGTACTAATATGATGTTCTTGACAGTTAAGTGTTTCCTTTTCAGTAGGCACCTATCATTCTCCAGCACTGCAGACAGTGACAGCTTTCCTGTGCTGAAAGTTCCAGAAGATCTAATTTTGGTTAAACTACTGCATAAGATCTATGAAATAATACCCATTTTTCTTAAATCAGAAAACAATCTGCACTAAACACTATAATTAGAGTCTCAGTATGTGTGGAACAGATCTCATGATTCCATGGGCAATGCTTTGGACAACCTGGCTTCCTAGGGCAGCCTTTGATGTGGCATTTGTTCACAACTAGCAAGACTTTTTGGACAAGCAAATCTGCCAAGTGCCTTGTCTTTATGGCAGGGGTGATGTTAAGACAGTGTAGGATGCAAAGAAAAATGAGAATGCTACTTCAACTACAGTTTAAGTAAGCACCAACTTGAGTAGGATGGTGAAGGCATAAACAAAAACAGTACTCACTGATATAAGAAAAACTTTAACTCCTTGGTCCTCTGTATCCATGGCAGTGATCCGGATACTCTTCTCACTGGCTTTATCAATCTGCATCTGAGCCCAGAGCTTGGTATTTAAGATTAACCTGAGACTCCCCTGAGTCCTCATCACTAAAGCCAAGTTACAAGATCAGTTAGGTGGAAAAAGACATATTAGGAAACTCAAAAGAGGCAAGACACTTTTTACTGTATAAAGGTTTCAGTCCTTCTACAAATAAGCCCTCTTGAGCTTTTGTCACAACTGTAAATGAGAAGAATGTAGGCTTGTGCTAGTTTTGGCTGGGGTAGAGTTAACCTTCTTCCCAGTCACTGGTATGGAGCTGTGTTTTGGGTTTGTGCTGAACATACAGTTGATAATATAGAGATGTTTTTGCTATTGCTGAACAGTGCTTGCACAGAGCTAAGACCTTTTCTGCTTTTTATAATACTGCACTGATGAGCAGGATTGGGAGTATGTGGGAGGTTAGGGGCAGACATAGCTGGGACAGGTGACCCAAACTGACCAAAGGGATATTCTAGACTATATAATACCATGCTCAAGATATAAAGCAGGGGGAAGAAGAGGAAGGGAGGATGTTTGGAGTGATGGCGTTAGTTCTCCCAAGTCATCATTACGTGTGACAGGAGCCTGCTGTGCTGGAGATGGATGAACACCTGCCTGCCCATGGGTAATAGTGAATTCATTTCTTGTTTTGCTCTCTTTATTGAACTGTCTTTATCTTAACCCATGAGTTTTCTAACTTTTATACACTTCCAATTCTCTCCCTGATCCTGCTGAAGTGGGAGTGAGCAAAACACTGCAAGGGGCTTGGCTGCTGGCTGGGCCTAAACTGTAACAAGGCTATTAAAGATTAGTCATGTCTAAAGCTATTTAGTCTGAAGCCTTATATGTTAATACATTAAAGTTCAGCAGTTGTATCTAAGCAGATAATTTCAGGCTAATGCACATTCCTGCCAGCCTGAACAATCGTGCACTATCCAAACAGACTTGCCCCACCACAAACAACATCCAATACAGCCAGATCTGAATAATCTTACCATAAATTTCTAGGCAAATATCCTAGTTACTAAACATGGTTTGCTGTTATGAGGGGAAAAAGTAACTGGAACATCTGCCACAATAGAAAGGTATGAAGATACTCTCTTTGGAGGCAACATTCACTAACTGAAGCAAAAGAAAAGGTCCAAACTGCTTTTGCATTGCTGGAGCTAAGACAAACTAAAGTGAATGTTGCTGTGTGACAAGGAAGAACCTTATGAAAATAGCATGACTGTCATCCAGTATCTCATCTCCCCTGGTCCCCCTTACCCAGTCGAGACTGTAATGTTCCATCATCTGTTGAGGCCATATCATTGAGTCTCAGTAGCCCTCGACCTCTTTCCACCCAAGACTGAGAGGTTTTATCAAATACAAACAGTTTGCACTGAATCTGTAACAGAAAACATCTTATGACATAGTGGCTGATTGAAGTAATCATGTATTTCTTAGTCACCTACAGTTAAAAAAGTATTCAGATTTCATATTGGAATTTTAATTGTTTATAGCTGTGGAAACCAAACAGTCATCCTCTTTTTTGCAATAAATTTCTCAAAATATGCTGTCTGTTTTCATCAGGTTTTATTAAAATAAGCTATATATTTTTAAAGAATAAGAGGGCTTAAGATCAAAACAAGTAATTTTCAGGTAAGATATTAACTTTCACACAGGAAACTTAATGTCATAAGAGACTGCCTAATATCAGCCAATTCTTTTAAAAGCCTTAGGTACACATTGCACCACTCGAGATGGTATTTGTTGCTGGGAAGACCCAGCAAATATAACAAAAACAAAGCAAAATTTTTCCTGTAAGGAAGGTAAGAATGAACAAACATACTAATTCATTATGAAGTCATTATCAAAGCCTGAACCAAACAAAGCCATTAATAAGTGACGTATTTTTACTGTCTCCCTGCAGGGTTCATAGGTTATAAAACTGAAAAGGTGTATGTATTTTTTTCAACAGTAGGAATACTCCTTCTTGACCTACAAGCTCCCTTTTTCTTCCATGCCAAACATCTCTACTCTATATTGCCTCTCTAATCCAACTTCACTGCTGAGGTTTTATACCCCAAATCATCACCCCTCAAGTTACCCACAGATGAGCATGCATTAAGTGGAAAAGATACTTCCATTTTTATTCCCTCAATTTACCATTTTCTTTATCCCAAAACATCTAGCTTTCTGTGTTTCTGCAATATTAACATAGTCGTGTCTGTACAAAGTCTCATTTGGAATTTTAATGCATTACATCTCACAAGAAAAAAAAGAATTAAAGTTAGGCAAGAAGTCAATTAAATTATAGGACATTCATGCAAGTCAGCCTTCTATTAACTATATAGCTGCCAAAAGTTGTGGTTTTCCTAAGTGAAACAGGATTCTTATCTCTTCAGTGTCTTGTTCAATTATGTGAAGCCTCAAGATATTTCTGAATTACACAGAAACAGAGATGCACCAGAAGGACCATTTAAAGACCATTTATGTCCGGTAAAAAGAAGTCCAAGAATATAAACATTACAGAGTATCATTTTGTAAGGTAATACAAGTGTAACTGATACTGACAGTGCAACTGTTTGGTGTCAGAATAGAGCATCCTGTCTGTAAGAATGGAGAAAGCTATTCCTGAAAACAACATAGTTCAAATGCTGAGAAACAAAATATCTCAAGAAAAAAAACATACTATAATTGGAGAATAAAGAGATAGGGAAAAAATACATATACTACTTCATTTTATATGAAAACTCTTTTTCTTAAGGATATACTGGAGTTAGTAAGTATATTTAAGTTAATGAATAACTACAATGTTAAATATATCATTATTAAAATCAGGAGTCTAAGTCGCAACTAAATATCCTTCTACAACATCACTAATTCAATTAAGTAGCTCAAGCCAAATTCCTGAGCGTTTGTGATATAGTTTATGCCAACAGTCTAGTTTCTTGCAAACCAGAAACAGTCCATTCCAAGTTTTAGAAAATCTTCAGTAGTACAATGATTAAAGAACTGAAAAACATTTAGTGCATTTAAATTTTCTTCAAATAATTGTCTCTTAGGAAACAGAAGCTTCTATGTGATGGATTCAGGAAAGTATGCTTAAGATACACCTGGATGGCTTATACAGAAAAACTTATTCAGAAAGAGGAAATTAAAAAACAATGGATAACAAGTTAAAAAATATGGATCTGATATAAATATCTAAAGTCAGCATTTTAACACAAGAAAATACATTAGAGATATAGAGGAAGGCTGAGTTGTAGGGAATCAGACGATGTGCATTCACTGGACATCCATATGAAATCCATCAAACTCAAAGCTCCTCTGCTCTATCCGTTTCTTACCTGTAACACGTTACTTTCAGCTTCTTCCCCAGTGATCACTTCTACCTTCGCCAATAAACACTTCCTTGCTGTTGCTTTAGTATAGGCTGCTGCAGACTCTGCCAGTGATTCTGAAATATTATTAGCTGAACAACATTTTGAGAGTCTGAGAATTATTAGCATAAAATTATGTAATATGTACAAAGGTCTCACACAAGCACACCAGAATTTTGAGACCTTTTGAAAAGTACAGAAGACAGACCTTAACAGAACATGTAAAAAAGGATTGAAATTTAAAGCAGAAGTGAAAGCTTGTATTTTAATACTTGTTTTACAAGCATAAGGGACAGAAGAGATAAGTTCTCAAGAAGTTTTGTCCCTACACACAATAGTCCAAAACCTTTGCATAGACACCTGCTTATCTGTAGATGCTCCAGCAGTACTGATACTCTTGCCAGCCTACACATGATACAGCTGTGCCTACACAGGAATAATATATTTTTGTGCCTACACAAGTGCAATTTATTTTCCACTTTAATTTGGGCTAGCAAGTAGTTTACTGAAGGAAACCCATAGCTCCCAGAATTTCCATAGTATCTTGACAATTTGAAGTCATAGAATCCAGCAAACAGTTCTGAGTTCAGGCAACATGTGGGGCACTCACCCAATGCAATACACATTTGACTCAGAAATTCAGTCACTTGAAATACAACAGAATTGTTAAAAAGAAGTTTGCCACATTTCTTCTATGCTCTCTACCAAGTCCTACAACCAGTTCTGTTAATTCCCTCTAATTTTTTTCTGTTGAAGATACTCCCACTATCACAGAATGACAACGAAAGACAGTGCAGCCTATACATATTTAATATTAGAATATCTACACCAGCATCTTCCACACACAGCCTATATCTTTGGTTAAAGGCAACATAAAAATCTAATGTTTTTGAAAAGTAACAGGATACTGAAAAATACAGTCATTTAAAAAATTATTAACTACCATTCCTAACATAATATTTTTTTCACCTTTTTCTGGCGTGGCCTCCTGAGAAGACGATTCAGACCCAGACTCTGTAGCAGCATTCTCCTTATTACTCTCTGTACTACCTTCATTTGATTTTGGTGGACTCTATCACAGAAATAAGAGGAGGTAAACAGAAAAGAGAAACATACACTAACTCTGCTGAACAGGACTAGTGACCAAGTACTGAGGGCACTTCCAGTATTTATAAATAATATGGCAAAAAAATAAGCTTATGGACTACATACTTTCACAGTTAAAGTTACCCAACTATCTCAGCCAAGGAACTGAGTGGAGTGTGACCTAAGAAACAGTTTAAATTATTTTACCTTAAACTGAAACCAAATTTCAATCCTTACTTTGAGGCTTTTTGACTTTTGTTCAACACAGCAAGTCAATTTCAGCTACAGCTACTCATGGCATAATTGACTGAACTCCTGCTTGGTAGTTGGGTCTAAACACTCAGCATTAAATGTTTCCATTTTGTTCCAGCACAGGAATAAAAAGAACAGCAGGAAACAGTGAGGTACTAGAAGTTGTTCCTTAGGTTGGTCCATCATAAACAGCATTTCCAGAATCATACCTCAGTCTTGAGGCATCTGCTTTACTGCTAAGTTTGAAATCCCATCCTGGGGGGAGTCACATGACTGCACTGCTCTCAATTTTGAGGACAACCATAAAATACCCTCTAATACTCCAATAGCCATTTAAAGCAATAGGCTGTGCCATAAAAGGGTTAGGCACAAGAACCACCTGCACTACAGAGAGGGCACTGAATCTCCTTACATTAAGAGAGTGTGGCAAGGAAATCCTGGAGAGTATTGCTGGGCAGATAGCTCATAATGAACATCTCCTGCAGCACTCAAAGTTAGTTACTGTCAAGGGAAACCACTGAAAAAAACCCCATACTCAAGTGACAAGCACAAATTAAAGGCTCTCAAAATTCCTGAGTAAGAATCTGTAACAAACTGCTCACAAAATTACAACATATACATAGTGGATACTCACTAGGACTCGCTCACTCATGTTCTGTCCAAAAACAAACTTGTTGCTAGACGCATCTGCACTGTTCGTAGAGTTCTCTACACTGAAAAAAACCCCCCAATAAATAAGCCAGGTTTTATAAATAATTCCTCTTATTTTCTACTAATAAAATTTCTCAGAAAGTGAGTGATTGTCACTGGCTTTAAAAAAGTAAGCATTGGTTGTCACAAACATAGGTAAAAATTAATTCAACTTAACACAAGAGCACATTCCAGCTTTACAGAACAAGAATTCTCTCAATGTCAACAAATTATTTTGTCTCTGTAAAAATTTTCCCGTTCAGATAACTAATAGCACACAAAGCAATGCTGAATGCTAAGTGAATGCTAAGTGCTATTGTCTAATCATACAACTGTTGTTTTTTTTTTAATAGTATTCCACATGCACAGACACGAACTACTACACACTTTTTGGTCAATTCTCTCAGAAAGCAAAAGAACTGAGACAAAGCACTTCCAATATCATAACTGAAGCAAAGGTAGCAGGGATAAGTAATGCCTTTTATCAGACTAGCTATACTACAGCCTCTCCAAGAAGTTTCACCATCAAATCTCAGCCTTTATTTCTTCCTTCCATTAGTATTTTTATTAACAGATCTTAAATCCTATTTAGAAAGGACAAGAGTTTTATTCTTTTTTAGACTCAAAAGACTTAACAAGTCATTTTTTCTGTCCCTTCCCATCAGGCATACCTTTCTAAGAAACCAGCGTGCTCATAAAGTGAAAATACAAAAGGTAGACCATTCTGAATCAAGCCTGTGTGCATTTCACCAAGTTTGGAAAATTGGGACTCACATCTACATGAGTCAAGTGAAATCAAACAAACTTTTTAATTGTACATGTAGAGTTGCTACTTCTGATTAAGGAGATCCTCAGCTGAAGATAGCTTTACCTACTAAGGGAATTAAATACCACAGTTCTGAGCCCTAAATGTTGAGAGGGAAGTCAGTATGGCCTACCAGTATCTGCCACACTACCCAGCACATTTACACTTTTAAAAGAATTGACAGTGTTACACAAAGGGAGGAGTTTTCTTTTACGAGTTGATTACCATAATGCTTTGCCATCTCAGCTGAAAAACAGAGCCAATTCCCCTTAGACACTATTTTTTTTTAAGACTAGTGCAAAACTAGGTTTCTGACAATTGATCCACCATGAATAAATCTTCCCGAAGTAAAGACTCAAATGAAATGACAGTAGATGCCATGTGAGTTGAAAAATATGAAAAACATATTCCAGTATTTGAAGGCCACGTATTAGTAGTTATTGTCTGCCAAATTTGATTGAACAAGTCTGACTGTGTCTATTGGAAAGACATTAATCTGGCATCAAGAGAGCAAAGGTGTTCTCTACCTCCCCAGCGCTGAAAAGTTCAGCATCAAAGGTTTACTGACTGCAAAACTACCTACTGCCTCTTTCACAGTGAACAACAACAACATGGTGAATCTTAATGCCAAATATAAGGACAAAGAAAGCATGTATTGGTGCTTTTGCTACAATTATTTCATTGCCTCCATCTGAATTTCAGATTACTCCAGGAGCAGAGATGTTGCTTTACTTCATCACTCTTGGCGGGAATTCCTCTCACACTTTTCCAGTTATTACTTGAATTCACAGCTCTGTATCTCCTGTTTTCTCATTCTGTACACAACTTCATTTTTTGACCACTACTAAGCTACCACTTTCACAGACCTGTATCACTACCTCAGCCTCAAGTGAAGGTTGTCAGCTCAGTTCTCACCACTACAGAAGACAGGATTAGCAGTTTTCTCCTAGCTGTCTCACGATACCTATGCATCACATTTCTTCTGATACTGTTACCTCACCAGAAGTTCTCTCAAAAACCTCCCACAGTTAGGCTCCTACTTATTCATACAGGCCACTCTGAAAAGCTTACTATTGTGAAAAAATTTTAACTGTACTTCCTTTTATCCGTATCATATACGAAACCTACTGAACAGCACAAATACTGTGTAGAACTCCACGAGATTCTACTGGTAGCTCAAATTTAGTCCATCAGTGGTCCTAATCATTCATAAGAAGACTTCTCATGTCATGCTTCTTGGTTTTCTGAAGAGGTTTTGGTGAGGATGTGATCAAATAAATCAAATGCATCTCCCTTGATGATATGATTGAGGATTCCCCCAGACCTGAAGACTGCCATTTCATTCTTCAGAAGTCTGGATCCCCACTGACCCAGTCTAAGCCCTGCATCCAGTAAAGAGCAGAAACATAAAAAAATTTCTATAATAAGTAAGGAAGACTGTTCTATTGCTTTCCCTGTAGTCTCACCTGGAACTGATATACTGTAGAAAATAGTTTGTTGCAGAAGGTGTATCTGCTGTCAGAAGGCCAGCATTTTGCACATCACCAGTTTCATCGCTTTCATCTCCTAGCTAGACAAAAAACAAGTATTTATCAATAATTTTAATCAAGTATATGTAGTATGTATAGTATACATATATCAATAACTTTAATCAAGTATATATCAATACTTTTAATTGCAGTCACAAACTCATTCTTCCTGAAGTTTCATCCACAAATGCTTTCTACAATAAAACAAGCTAAGTCTATGTCCCAATACTACACTTTCTTTTATTACACTAGGAAAGCTCAGCAAACCTGTCTTCAACAGGAGGTACTAACAATCCAACTCAGTTATTCTGTGGCAAGTTTGAGCCCAGGCTCAGCCTATTTTTCCATCTTTCTGTGAAGTCTTGGTTGCATGGGAGCATCTTAGGACCACATTTCAACTTTATTCTAACCCAAAAGGTAAGAGAAAATGCTACATTCTACTGAGCTTTAGCCTTTACCCGTGATTGCAGTAGATGTAGTCATACTTGAAAAAGCTTCTTATGCTACTTAACAGAATTAATTTATTAAATGTTCAGAAGACTAGTTTTAACAGTTTAAACAGTCAACTCTACTGAGTTCATAGCTTTTAATTTTACATATATACATGTAAGAAGTTTTAACCTTTTCATACAGTAGCTTCATGGTACTACATAAACTCTTAGTCAAGAGAACAAATGTGTGCTTACCTTAACTCTATCTCTTAAATTTTGCCCAAAAACAAATGCTTGCTGTGCATTTAGTTCAGCCTTCTCACAGCTGTCATCATCTGAAGTATTGTTGGACTCCTTTTTTTGACATTCTGCTGCCTAAAGAAATGGAAAAATACAGCCGAAGAAGTTGAGTTTCTTTAAATAAAAACTCCTTATGACAAGGTGTGTTACACACTCATTCACAATGACAAACCAATAACACTTCCAGATCTACAAGGCATGTTTTGCATTTAAATAATATCTCTGTTGTTAAGTATTTTTCTTAACAAATCACAGAACAGTTAAGGTTCAAAGGAATTTCTAACAATCACTTGGTCCAAACTGTGTTCAAAGCAGCAACAACTTCAAACTTATATTAGGCTACCTAAGATCTCACATCAAGTTTCAAAAAAATCCATGTGACAGTTTTACATTTTAGTAGTCTGGTTCACTGTTCAACTACACTAAGTATGATAGTTATGTCCTAAAACCCATCTGGAATCCCCTTCACACCACACCTGCAGCTTCTCATCTGTTCGACAAACACTTCCTAATTTCATTCTAATCTTGCCACCACCTACCACTTGAGAGCTGAGGAGAATAATCCAATTTCCCTGCCCTACTCCAAGCAGAAAATACTCAGCTCTTTCATTCTCTCATCATACATCTTGTGCTCCAGCCACTAGTCCCTTCGTAAGTGTCTTTCATGCACTGTCAAGCCCCAAACTATATGGCATTCCTGATACCATCCACGAGTAGCACAAAAAGAAAGATCACTTTCCTGAACTTAATGGCTGCAGTTTTAGTAAAGCAGCCTGTAAATCCTCTTAATCAATAAAAGGATACACTACTTATTCAGGCTGAATCTATTGTTCATCACTGCTGCACAGCACCTGAAGGTTCCTGAGCTTTTTGTTCTCCTAGGGACTTTCTATTTTGCACCTCTGCCACCTGCTATCCACAAGTGGCTTCATGACTTCTCACTGTACATGCTGTGGTGGCACTTTTCCTGATTATTCCCATGCTATAGTTCTTGATCCACTATAGTTAGAGCCTTGCACTTACAAACCCCTAAAGTAGTGTTGGAAAGCAATTGCAACCTGCATGGGAATCACTCCCTCCTGCTTCTGTCCTAACTTCCTACTGCATAGCTTTCGACGCTGATGGGAGGACTCAACACTATATGCACACACGAAGCCTCAGAAGTGACCCCCACACAGCAGTTGCCCCTCAGCAAAGCATACTTCCATCAGCATCAACAGCACCATAAGCAGAAAAAAACTCCAAGGAAGTCTGAGCATATTATGAAGAAAACCATATAGTTATTATGGGAAGAATATTAGGGGATACCACCTCCCCACTGGAGAGGACACTCAGGGAGAAGATGCTTGTCTAAGGAACACATTACTAATCTTTATGGCTGGCCAATGTGAAGCTTTCCCTTTTCTTTCCCTTTTTGACCTCCCTTCCTCCAAAATAAAGCAACTGTCACCCTTAGAAGCAGTACTATCAGCTATAGATCTGCTAATTCTGTATGTGGGAACTTGTCTCAACACTTTTCATGAAGTATTAGGATCTCCTAGACTTGTGTGCACAGCTGCTTTCTAGCCAGTCCCTCATCAGTCCTTGTGACACACAGGTTCTCTCACCCCAGGTACAGAATTCTGCATTTGCTGACCATCAGGTAGTTTTTCTCAGCTTGTTCTTCCAACCTGCTGAGATCCTGCTGAACAGCCCCTACCTTCCAACATATTGACCATTTCCCCTTCCCACAGTGTACTAGTAGCCACAAACTTAACAAGATTTATTCCACTTTGCCAGGTTGTTTGTGTGTATGTTGAACAGTCCTAAGAAATGCCTTTAGCAACTAACACTTGTCAGACTTCCAACCACTGGCTGCTACCCTCAAAGCTCACTGCTTCAGACAATTATTCACTCACTTTAAATTCCACCCAAACAGTATACCTCTCTCCATTTTGGCTATGACAACGATGCTTCAGACCATACAAAGATCTTGCCTAAAGCCAAAATCAACAAGTAGGGCTCTCTACAAAGCAAATAATCTCAGAGGATAAAAAACCCATCAGGTTGGTCTCTGTTTTATCTATGCTGGCTGTTCTCAATCCCTTTAAGGTGCCTCATATCCTAGAACTCCTTCACCACAAAGAGAGAAGAAGGAGCTGAGCCATTTCTACTTTCCTGGAACCTCTTTCTTGCCATTCGTGGAAACGTGTGCCGTGCTTTCTTCTTCCCCAATAACTGGGATCCACTACAGTACCACAACTCTCTGAGGACAGGTAGTGGCCTCACACTAGCACCCTCCAGCTCCCTGAGTTCATTTTCTTCCCAGTACAACACTGTATTTTGGATTCAGGATGAAAATAATCTTGATCACACACTGATATTTCGGTTGTGGCTCTGTTGTGCTCATCCCAAGTCAAAGATTTCTCAATGTCTCATGCTGTGCCAGTGAGGAGCTGCACAAGAAACTGGGGGGGAGCATGGCTGGGACTGCTAGCCTGAACCGGTCAGAAGGATATTCCACACCACAAAACATCCTGCCTGGTGTGTAAACTGGGGGAACTGCTGGTGAGGGGCTGATTTTTGCTGGGAGACAGGCTGGATACAGATCAGTGGGTGCTGAGCGCCTATACTAGGCATCCTTTCTTTTCTTTGTGTTTTGTTTATCTGTCCCTCTCTCATTTTCATTACAATTGTTATTATACTTTACTCTGTTTCAATACTTGAGTAACTGTTCTTATCTCAATCCACTAGCTTTACTTTTTTCCTGATTCTTCTCCCCATCCCACCTGAGTGGAGGGAGTAAAGTGGTGCCATGGTACTTAGTTGGCAGCTGGGGTTAAACCATTACTCTCCCTCAGCACCCATGGATACATCCTGTCTGGTCCCATGGACCTGCGTATGTTCAGCTGTCTAAAACAGTCCTTAAGTAAATTTATTGTAATAATTCCCTCCCTCAAACTTCTCCTAAAAAAGGAGACTTGGCAAATCTGACAGCAGACCTCTTCAGTAGAAAACAAGACAAAGGCATCGAGTATCTCAATTTTTTTCACCACTACACTCCCTTCAACATTTTGCAGAAGGCCTACAATTTTCCTTCATTTTACCTTTGCTGCCAATAGCAGTGGAAGCCTTGCTTGCAGCTTTTCATTCCTGGTCATTTCCAATTCCAGACAAATTTAGGCTTTCCCAGTTCTCCTACACATCCAGGCAATCCTTCTGTATACTTCTTGGGTGTCTTGAAAGCTCAGGTGGCTTTCATGAGTTATATGCAGACTTTCTGGATTTAAGAAGCTCCCACTCCATATATGCTGGCCTCCTGCCACACCTACACAATTTCATGCACTTTGGGTTAAATTATTCATTCTCTAAGGTGGTTGTCCATGGAGGTAGCTTGCAGAGAGCAAGCTAATAAAACATTAGCTCTCATGAGTTCTACTGTCTTTCAGAATGCTAACAACCAGCTCAATGAAAAACCTGAAGCCTTCTCTCCTGAAGTCTGGATCTTTATTCTCCTACTTTTTAACTCCCTCAGGATCTTGAACTCCATCTCATTGATGCTGCAACGACAGCTACTCTCAACCTTTGCATTTCTAGTCAGTTCTTTGCTGTGAATACCAGGTACAGCTAAATACCTACACCATGTCAACTTACCAAGCACATGCAAATTCTCCTATCAACTTCTTTTTAAAATCTCCAGGAGCATTCTGGAGGATTTCTACCAGGACATGTTGCCATTTTATTAGGTGTCCAAGTACTAAAGTTCTCCTTTAGAAACAAGGCCTGTAATGGTGAAGCTTCTAGTTCTTCAAGGGCGTTAGTTACTTTCGCTACTTCATCAGTCCAAGTCTGATGAAGGTTCACTTTAATCTCCCTCTTGTTGGCTTCCCCTCTGACCTTAATCTATAAAGCCTTGACCAATTCAGTGCCTTCGCAAAACAAAGCCTCTGCATTCAAACAGCTTCTTTTAGCGTGGAGGAACCTGTGGGAATTGCAAGTACAGAGAGCTCTCAGGGACTTTGCATACAAGCTCAGAGACAGAGATGGATACAAGGTTTGACCTAAGACTTTTGAGAAAGCTTGGAGAATGTGAAGCAGACATAAAACAAGAATGTAAGTTTGTAATTTAAGTAGAAATATGTTTTCAAGCAAACAGAGATACGCATTATGTAAGCAAAGCAATATGTTAAGTAAGAGGGTGTCCTGGTTTAGGTTTAGACATCATACAGTCACCCCAAGACCGAGGGTAAAAAGTTTTAAAGTGTAGCAACAGAAACTGCCATAAAGTCAATTAAAAGCTTAAGATGCATCAATGCATGTTTGTGAAGTGTTATATGATTGGTTAAAAAATGACACATTGTGGCAAAGCCACCAAAAGTAAAGCAATTACTGGTCGGTGTAAAAAGATGCTACCAAGTTTCATAGAAGTATGTGATTGGCTAAAAAACTAACATAAGAACTTGTAACTAAGAATTAGACAGCTTCTGATATTAGGGCATTAAATGTAACACCTTAAATGTCTCACCCTCCTACGAGACCAACGCCATGAGGCAATAAATCATCCTTTAAAAAGCCTCTCAGTTGCCCCGTCTCTCGTGATTTTGACCTCCCAATAACCTGTGCTCCACAGTGTGAGGTGCGATCGATCTTATTGAGTAAATTGGGAAGCCCCGGATGCCTAATTTAGAGGCTGCAGGAATGAAGCAGAAAATCCACAGATTTAATGGCTCCTGAAATGAAAGAGGAACAGAATCTATCAGCTGTTTAAAGAAAACAGGAAACCGAGCCTGCTGGTAGTGCTTGGCTAGAGCCTGTCCAGAGAGGACCTGCGACAAGATTACAGGTGAGCTTCGGGGAACATGGAGCAAGAAACGTCCATATTCATTTAGAAGCTCTGACAAGAGCTAATTCTCATGCCATGCCTAAGCAACAGTTAAAAGACCTTTTATGCTGGTTACAGAAAAATTCTGCACACACAGACCTTGCATATGCTTTTACCATGGCTCTTTGGGATTCTGTTGCAGTAAGACTCTACAATGCGACTGTCTGTAGGGATCTTATGGCTGCTAAATTGCTTCCAGTAAGTCCTATACTTG